GGCATGCTTAGTCCTCCCTCTAGAGGTAGAAGAGCCTCAATTAAATCTCTGAGTTGCAATTAAAAAAAAAAAAAAACACCTGAGTTGGTGCTGTTCTCTGCACGTTGGGGAGGATGTATGACTTTCTTGGTTAGGGCACTAACCACCGCACATGAATCTCTCCTGTCATCTTTTTTAGCAATGCATGCACTGAGAATGGAATCCTATGAAAAAGGAAACAAAAATTAAATGAGGAAATAATCTAAAGATAAAACGGAATATATCAACGTGCGCATATCGAATTATGTCCAATTCCTCCATATAGTGAAATGCTGACCATTGGAATTAAATATGACATAGTTTAGAAACTTAGGAAATTGTATAGTACTCAAAAATTTGAATAGGTTATGGACATAGTGCTATCCTTTTAGCCGCCTCTCGGCCCTCTTTGCGATCACCAGCCGCCACCACTTCTAGACAAAAAGGTTTTGCTCCATCACGTTACGATTTTACTATTTCATAGCAACAAAGTTTGCAAATGGCATCATAAATCGCCTAACTTTATGTGCAAGAGTCGCTTCTTGTTAGTTGTTGGCTTGTTGCTACCCACCACTCCTTATTGTTCACGTGTCAGTTCCCACCGTGGAACCGGTCCCAGTTTGTGGAACTGGAAACTAGGCCACCTGGTCCTGGACCCACTCTGGAACCGATCATATCCCTTTTATTTTTTAACTTATTCCCCGCAAGACTACAAGTGTTGTTGCATAATCTGAGCTACTAGAGTAATGTTAACAGAACAAGATTGTGATAAGCTAAAAATGATTATCATCTCCACGAACAATGCTATAATAATTATCAAGAACCGAGTTTAAGAGGTGTCAAGCCGCGAGGGAGGTGTGACCGCTTCGTGACCAAGATCGAGAGAAGTGAGAGGCGTGAGTGACGAACGTGCATGACAGAGTTTGAGCAAGAAAAAAATGGAAATTAAAGTTTTGGAAATTTGGAATGAAGAATTAAAAAAAAAAAATTGGTTCGGTCCTCGTGGTTCGATTGGGTGGGTCCACACATGGATTCAGGGTGCGTTCGGCTCACAAATCATTTGCTTAAGTTATTTAGTGAATTTGAGTTCTACTTAGTATGTTAATGGATTCAAAGTGCGTTCGGGAGAGGCTTAGTCCAATGCCTTTACATAAGTATAATGATTTTAGACTAAGGGTTTTCGTCAAATACAAATAGTATTTGGTGTTTTAAACCAAAGGGTTTTCTTTAAAGCAATTTTCAAAAGAACAAAGAAAAAAAAAAAGGAGAATGGAGAGGATCGAACCCTCTGGATCACAAGATGGTGGAAACAAACGTTATGGGAGCAATTGAAACAGGTGAGGATCGAACCATTGAATAGATTAGGCTAGCCGATGCCGAGATTGCGTGACCTTAGGCAAGGCGACGAGGTTACGCCCAAGGTTAAGTCGAGGGTCGCGTGACCCTCGCCCAAGGTCATGCAAACCTAGATCTTGGCGACCCTTAGCAAATGTCAGCAAGCCTTGTGCGACTCACGACCCTCAAAATTTCAACTGACAGACTTGCGGCCGTCAACTGTCAATTTTCGACCCTCGATCCTTGTTGACACTTGACCCTCGACAATCATTCCTCAACAACCATCGACTTTGGGCTCATGTCGACCAGAATCTGGAACAACAGTGGGTGCATTTGGTTCAAAAATAGAGATGATGAACTGGTACACTTGTGAGGTCAAAATATGAATAGTGAGGTTGAGTCAAAGTTGAGGTATTTAGTAACATGATCCCATGGACCCTCGAGTCAAATTTAGCATTTTTTAAGTCATTTAATCCGATGCAACTCCCATCCAACATTTGCATTTCATCATTTTTCGAAATGCCATTCAGGGGTTAATGAATTTTTTCGTCCAACTTTGCTTTGGCTAATATTTTCATATTCATATTTTGACCTCACTATACACTTGTGACAAATGCACCAATTTTTAATTTTTTTGACCACCAAAAACCCCAAACTGGTACACTTGTGACAATTTTACCCCGAACTAATTTTTTTGACCACTAAAAACTCAACACTGGTACATTTGTGACAAAATTTACTCTCTGTTAGTGTCCATTAAATTGGATTGATATTACGAAAAATCACAAATTGGTAAACTTGTGACAAACAGAGGGGTAAAACCCCAAATTGGTAAAACCGTCAACTACCACGTGTCATCAAACTTAGCAATTTGATAGTAAAATTTAACGAAAACTAACGAAGTGTAAATTTGTCACATGTGTACCAGTTTAGAGTTTAAATTAGTTCGGGGTAAAATTGTAACAAGTGTACCAGTTTGGGGTTTCTGGTGGTCAAAAAATTTGTTTGTGGTAAAATTGTCACAAGTGTACCAGTTTGGGGTTTTTTGTGATCAAAAAAATAGTTTGAAGTAATTTTGTTACTGACGTATCAGTTTAAAGTTTTTCGTGATATTAATATTAAAAAATGCTTGGCGTTATCATAAAAGAATCGTAAAGTGATCTTATCGTGATTTTACATCAATTCTATTATAAGCAAGAAATGCTTACATTTTATGATAGGACTATTTAAAATATAAAATGTTATAGAAATATCTTATCATATAATTGAACCATTATTACTAATCCGTTTTATCTAACGAGAAATCACGCGAAATATTATTCTGCAAAGGTGAAATGAAATGATCATATTTTAAGCATATAATTGATTGGCAACGTAGTACATCATTAATTTACCGAAGAAAAGGCATACATCAACTTTAAAATTGAAGTAATTTAATCCGAGTATAATGCGGCATGTGTTTTATACGTGTATAATTCGGCTCACTCCAAAAGAAGGCGTGTTTTTCCGTTACTTCAACAAACGCGCGAGGGACGAAAGTTAAGTGAAAAAAAAAAATCACGTATTCCTACGTGTGTATTGTATAAAAATACGAGTATTTTTGCTCGGAGACTTTTTGAAATAAAAGCTTTTGAATGTTTTCCCTTCCATGCAAAGTCTGACCTCACAGTGAATCAAAAGAAACATCAGTCACGGGCTGCCCGTGCTTTGGAGGACACCACATTGCACAGTGATGTACCAAAGGACTCTTGACAAGAACAAGGCAAAAAAGGCCCAAAAGGTGTTCTGAGGACGAGAGAAAAAATCAGAAAAAAACTGGCGGTCCAATTTCTTTGCATAAATCCGACCAAAAAAAAAATTTCTATACATAAATGTTTCCATAAGAGGAACAGAAAATAATTTATTAAGAGCATTCTCATTCATGGTTCATTTGTTTAGCGAAAAATGAATGATTTGAGAAATATTTTCTCGAAAAAGATCAGTTATATCGCTTACAGAAATGAATGAAAGAAAAATATTTTCATCGTCTACGAAAACGTTTAGATATAAATTGTTATCGACAATGAAGATATCTTTCATTGACTAATCATTTTAAATAATACAAGTGATCATTTCTAAGAAAATATTTTCAAATAATTCATTTTCCGACGAAGAGAAGGAGCCTTATTTTATGCTTTTGAAACATTGCCTCACCAAGTATATATGCACGATTATCCCCACCCCATTTTGCGATCGACTAATATCTTGAGCTATATATCTTGCCAAATCGGATTTATCTTAATATCATCGAAGAAAGGTCACTCATGTTGAAATTAAGAGAATTTTGTGAGAAGCGGCACTTTTTTCTTATAATTTCCGTCCTCAAAAGGTGTGGTTGAACAAAAATTGAACTAATGGCATCATAATGTTCGAGGTGCAAATCCCACCCGCGTCATGAGACGGCATATTTTCGAGAGCAAAAACCCCAAAGAATTGATTGCTGATACATTGCAATGTTCATTCAAGCAGCCAAGGAAAGTTTATGGTTTTCGATTCATTGTTTTCTCGTGTTATGTGCAATCACCGTGTTGAAAATCGTAACATCCCTAATTAAGCATGCTTAACAATGTTATTTAAGGGTACTCATTAGTAAAATCTATAATATATAGAGCACAACAAAAAGGAGCCTTACCTAAGAGTGAAAGTGAGTCAAGCTACTTGGACTCGGCTCCAGGAGTAATCGAGTATCTAGGCAAGTCGAGTTCGAGCTCGCCAAGCTTGCGAGCCCAATCAAATTTCTGTTATTTTTTCCAAAATATTTCATGTTTACAAAAAGATACATAATCCGTTCTAATTACATAATTAACCCTAGTATACAACCATATATGAAAGATATTCAAGCCTAATAAACTGGAGGTCCACCTTGAGTTCACATATTACTCTGTTATAGTCGGGTTGAACTCGAGAATTTCGATTTTCTATTCGAATCGAGTTCGAATAAAAATTTTGGTACTTGATCAAGCTAGAGCTGGAGTCGAGCAAAACCTGACAGCTAGGTTCCTTTGTCGTGTCGTATACCCAATTATGCACCGGCATCTCTGAAGACAACATCTATAGTATAATCATGTACTATTACGGTTTAGGGATAAGTGTATTGAAAATCTAAAACTTATCACAAAAGTACAATTGTGTCCTAAAGTTTTCGAAAAGTGCCATTAAGTCCCACAACTTGTTACAAAAGTGCAATTATCTTAAAATTTGACACAAAAATGCAATTAAGTTCTAAAACTTTTAAAATGTACAATAACGTCCTGAAACTTGTCCAATTGGTCTAATTAATTCTTTCTGTTGATTGCACTTTCGGAATGTTTTAGGACTTGATTACCTTTTCGTGATAACTTCTAAGACTTGATTTCACTTTTTGAAAGTTTTAGGACTTAATTACACTTTTTGAAAGTTTTAGAACTCAATTGCACTTTTATAATAATTTTTAAGACTTTCAATGTACTTATCCCTAGGGTTTATATCAGTTTTCAGGGGGATTGCGGAATGATCCCTCAAAATGTGTTCAATTGTACATTGCAATTTTAATTTATATGAATTCACGATTTTTTTTTGGACAGAACAAAAGACTGGTCATTGATATCTAGAAAAGACAGAACCCACTTTCGGGGTCTCAAAACATAGCAGATCTCTAAGGGCCTGCGGAGGACGGGTCAACCATTGTTCAGTGAGTGCTTTTTTTCTGTGTGTCGTAACTACCCAGTCCGCCACACTATTCCTAGACCTATTACAAAACTGCAGTTTTATGTTTGAAAACGAAGACAGCAACTCACGTGCTTCACTGAGGAGAGCACGATGTTCCCACAGCATACCTTCTGGAGACTTCAAGCTGTTGACCAGATTTAGGCAGTCTGACTCCAGAATTAGGTTTTCACCCGCACGAGGAGAGAGGAATTTGAGGGTTTCCACCATGGCTAGGCTCTAGGCTTGCTCGGCGGAAGAGGCGAGGACGTCCTTGGCAAAGCCGTCGATCAAGATCCCAGTTGAGTTGCGGCATACACAAGCTATTGAACCTTCAAAGGAACCAGGTTGGTGAGCTGCATCCATATTTACCTTTGTTTCGCCCCTCTCTGGGGGACTCCAGACATCCTCCTCTGTGTGGTTTACAGCTTCAATTGGTCTGTCAAAGTTGTTCCATCTGTTGAAATTTTTGAGCAATTGTCGTCCTCTTTCAACCAGCAACTGTGGGTCCGGGAGGAGCCTTCTAAAGACGAGGCTATTCCTTGCTTTCTAGATTTCCCAGAGGACAACAGAGACTAACTCAAATTCGGGGGAGTTGTTGCTGCTGGGTATGTATTTTATCAGCCATTCATCAATGCGGGAAGTTTGGTATTTTGAGATCTGGATGTTGAGTGCAGGAACATCCCAGACTTCCCTCGTCCACTTGCATAGTAGGAATAGATGTTCTGTGGTTTCTGCATGAACTCGGCAGAATGGGCAATTCAGATCAGGTACCAGTTTCCTTCTGTACAAATTTTCCTTCGTTGGTAGTGCGTTTTGGCATACGCTCCATACAAAGTTTCTGATTTTGTGGGGAGTTTTCATTCTCCATATCCTGTTCCAGAGTTTAGTAGGAGTTTGATGAGAGGAGGAGGCAGGCTGTGCTTCTGTGTTTACATTTTTGCGAAGGGTGTTGTAGCCGCTCTTAACAGTGTAGTCGCCTTCCTTCGTGCCAGTCCAGATCAGTTTGTCTTCATTCATTTGTGGTCTGATATGTACTGTGAGGATCTCGCGTACTACCTGTTCATCGAATAGTCGTCGCAAAAGCGGTTCCTTCCATGTGCTTTCCCCTTGATCTATCAATTCATCAACCTTTTTTGGGTCCCCTGCATTAGCCGGTCCCCCTATAATTCCCCTTTTGAGCCACTTATCCTCCCTGATGTTAATATTGTGCCCATTCCCTACTGACCACATGACCGAGTCTTCAATTGATGTGCGCCCCATGAGTATGCTCTGCCATCCCCAAGATGGTCTGGATCCCTTCTCTGCCTTCCAGAAGCTCTTGGTTGGGTAGTAAATGCCCTTTAAAACTTGACTACACAGAGTTGTATGATTTTGTGCTAATTGCCAAGCTTGTTTGCCAAGCATGGCCTTGTTAAAAGATATTAAATCCCTAAACCCAAGGCCTCCCCTGTCTTTTCTCTGTTTGAGAACTTCGGCCTTCCTCCAGTGCACTCCTTTTGTTGCTGGTTGGTTCTTCCACCAGAAGGCTGTGATTTTTTTCTCAATAGCTCGACATACTGAAAGTGGAATCTTGAAAATTGACATGGCATATTGTGGTAATGCTTGGACAACAGTTTTGATCAGAATTTCTTTCCCCGCTTTAGACATTGTGTTCTCTTTCCACCCGTCAAGCTTCATATTTACCCTTGCCAAGACCCAAGCAAACATTTGCTTTTTAGATGCTCCCCAATCAGAAGGAATACCCAAGTACTTCCCTGTCTTTTCAATCTCTGGGACTCTTAGTTCTCTAGCCATATTCCTTCTTAATTCACTAGGGCAGTCCTTGTTGAAGTATATCCCTGACTTGTTCAAGTTAACTGCTTGTCCTGAGGAAAAGCAATACGAATTCACGGTTTAAAGGCTTAAATAACACGCAAATTATGTTATTGGAATCTCTCTCCTAGCAAGCTTGATGTCCATTTCAAAAGACAAAAAATAAAAAAAAATCACTCAAGAAATTAAATTATTTGGGTCAATTAGCCAGTACCATTTTTTTTATTTGACTGAAGACCTCTTTTATTTCGCGAAAAATGAAGGACTTGGGAAATATTTTTCTTAAAAATGATCGTCCGCATCGCTCACAAAAGTGAAACGAACGAACAATATTTTTATCGTCCACAAAAACATCCATACATAAAATTATTATCGATAATGAGGATATTTTTCACGGGCGGATTATATCGAGCAATACAAACGATTAATTTTGAGAAAATGGTTTCCGTAAACGAAAGTCTAAATTACCAAACGTGTTACATTTCTAGACATGGAAGAAAAAAAAAGGTAAGCAAATCGAGCCCCTTCACTTTTTTTTCCACCGGAAAAGAGGAAACCCCTTTAATTTCAACCAAAAAAAATTCCCGATCCGCCCCCCCGAAAAAAAGAGCGAAAAAGGAAAAAACGCGAGCGAAAAGACAAAAAAGGAGAAAAAAAACAACAGCACCTGTGGGGCCCACCGTGAAGAAGTTGGCGCATCGGAGGAGGAGGAGGAGGAGGAGGAGGTCGATATATCAGGATACAAATTATTCGAGGAGAGAAAAAAAAAAACAAGGCGACAGGTTCGCAGTTCGCAGTGGAAAAAACGAAAAAATAACCGAAAAAACGAAGAAAGAAAAGAACATCACAAGGCGAGGTGAAAAGAAAAAGAAGGAGAAAAAAAATTGAAGCAACAGCGACGGATGATGCGCGGTTCCAACCAGCAGCCGGTTTTTTTCCTGTCCTCCTCCTCCTTCGCCCCGTCTCTTTCCCTCACCTTCTTCTACTTCTTCCCAAAGCGCTTTTCCCACATCCATCCCCCCCCACCCACCACACCACTTCTCCCCCTCCTCCATCGCCGCCACCCACCCCCGCCGCCGCCGCCGCCGCCGCCGGACACTTGTCTCGTTCCTCCAGACACGACAAAGGAAGAGAACCCATCTCGCAGATCACCCCTTTCCGCTCCGATTTCTTCTCGTCGCTTGCCTTTGCCCCCACCCCCAGTTCGCCCCCGGGTTTTTCCGGCCGCGTCCTCCCTCCGCGGGAGCGAACGGGGGAGCATCGCTTTCTCTCTCTCTCCCTCCCCGTTCCCGCCGGACGTGACCCGCAAGACCCAGAAAGAGGGAAAGGCGGGGGCGGTGTCTTTGCGTGCACGGGGCCGGGGGGTTTCTTCTTGTTGTTCTGATGCCGCTCGTGTCGGGTGCTCTTGAAATCTAGGGGTTCTTGTCCGAAATGGCCAAGGTGGGCGCGTCTGGTTTCCCTCCCGGGGAAGACGGCTCGCCCCAGTACTCGTTCGCATTGGAGTACGAGGGTCCCCCCGTGAGCCGGGACCTTCCCCGGGCCCTCCCGATCAACCTCAAGCACATCCCCGTCGCCGCCGTGGTCGCGCAGGTCTCCGTCGCCGAGAAGCTCGCGCTCCCCGTGGTGCAGCCCATCGGAGCCGCCGACCCTTTGGCCAAGAAGGTCTCCAGGGAGCTGGGCGCCGCGGATTCCACGGTCTCACCCACTTCGGTCATCCAGAACAGCCGCGAGAGCGCCTCGAAGGAGCTCGACTCGGCCTCGGAGATCGCCGCGTCGCCGGCGGCTTCCGGGGTCGCGGCGCCGGTGCCCAGGGGGGGCGGGGGCAAGTCGTCGTCGTCGGGCAATTTGAGCAGCTCGGGTGCGCTGGAGTTCTCTAACGCCAACTGTCTGTCTGGGGAACTGTCTGATGTCGTGAGTAGTTCGCGCGGATTGGAGTCGTCTTCGATAAGCCACGAGCATTCGCGCGAGTTGTTTAATGGAGCGCAGAGTTGTAGCACCATAGAGTTTTGTGATAGTTTCGACAAATCGGCGGGGAGCTCTCGGGCATTTAGAGTTTCCAATGTTGGGAAGGAGAGCATAGATTTGGATGATTCTAACAGTAGGCTGGATTGGGCTTCCAGTGGATCTGTTTTGAGCTTAGAGTGCCCATCTTCTCGGAAGACTGGGGACTGTACCGAGTCTAATCATGATGTTAGAAGAAACCCCGTTGTGACTTTTCACGACATTGAATCGGATGGTGGTCTCGAAGAGGAGTTTAGCAGGGAAGAACAGGAAGTCGTTCGGGTCAAGAGACAACCTCAAAGTAAAGGAAAGAAAGGATCTTGCTATCGATGCTTCAAAGGGAACCGGTTTACAGAAAAGGAGGTTTGCCTTGTTTGTGATGCAAAGTATTGCAGTCATTGTGTGCTTAGAGCAATGGGGTCAATGCCGGAAGGGAGGAAATGTGTTTCTTGCATTGGCTTTCCTATTGACGAGTCTAAGCGAACGAATTTGGGCAAGTGCTCTCGAATGCTTAAACGGTTGCTTAACGATTTAGAGGTCAAGCAAATCATGAAGGCTGAGAAGTTGTGTGAAGCGAATCAGTTACCTTCCGAGTACGTGTGCGTAAATGGGAATCCTCTTTGCCCGGAGGAGCTGCTAATGCTACAGACTTGTCCGAGCCCCCCGAAGAAGTTAAAACCTGGGAATTATTGGTATGATAAAGTATCCGGATTATGGGGAAAGGTGAACATGGCTTCCGAGCAAAATCTTTCCATTTTTTCCCTCTTATTTTGTCAAGTCAATGGTCCGTAACGGATAATGCTTCCTGGTGACTTTAACAGGAGGGAGAGAAGCCTTCCCAGATAATCAGTCCCCATCTCCATGTTGGGGGTCCAATTATGGAGAATGCTAGCAACGGAAATACCCAAGTGTTCATGAACGGTAGACAGATAACAAAAGTGGAACTTAGAATGTTGCAGGTTACATCATCTCACCTCTCGAAATCATTTTGAAGGCATTAATTTGAGAGTATGATTTTAGGAAATGAAATTTTGAATTATGCAGTTGGCGGGAGTTCAGTGTGCTGGTAACCCTCACTTTTGGGTGAACGAGGATGGATCATACCAGGAAGAGGGACAAAAGAACACGAAAGGTTATATCTGGGGCAAGGTAACCTTCTTTGAGGCGTCCTTTTGTGTTTCCTTCTTTAAGAGATTGCTAAACGACATGTCTTACCGGGATGTGCATCTTTCCACAGGCTGGGACAAAGCTATTATGTGCTTTCTTGTCACTTCCAGTGCCTTCTAAATCTTCTGGCTCTCATGTGGAACAATCGAACAGCCTGCTTAGCAGAAGTGTTCCTGACTATGTTGGGCAGAGAATGCTTCAGAAGATTCTTTTAGTTGGATATAGTGGATCTGGAACAAGTACAATATTTAAGCAGGTAAGTTTTCCCATCCAAGCACGCAAAGTGTATGATTTTGGCACGCGTAAAGTTGTAGTGGATGACATAGCTCTTGCTCTTGAAGACTCTAATAGAGAGCTCTGTAATTGTATACATATGGAATCAAAAGCTGTTCCAGAGTCCATGCTTGTGAAATATTGAAATATGCCAGCATATCAGAATGAAATTCTTGGGCCAGAGTCCCAGCTTTTAGTCTATATCATGTGTTACATCACATGATCGTGCTTACGGTTTCCATTTAACTAGAAAGAGGTAAGTTGCTCAATATATACTCGACTCAACAATGGTGTTAAATTTATTAGGTCGAAATGAGAAATGGAAAAATAATGCATTATTTAGAAGATCGTTTATGAAATAGATCAAGTTTAGGACTCCATAAGTTGCTAGTCTATTGAAAGCAGAATCTCAATTCCCTTAAGACATACCCTAGTCCTCCCACCATGGTACATTTTGACATTTATGAAGAGGTTGACTTTCTTTAAATACGTCGAATCTTCAGACTTCCTTCCATTTCTTTTGAGAGTGTTGTAGGCAATTCTACATCTTCTATTAGTAGCATTGTCTGTGCGCAAAACCTGGAAGTTTCAAACCAAGGAAAAATTGCTTTTATTATTTTGATCGTGCAGGAAGCAGAGTGCGAGGGTGAGTGTACTTTTGGATAAGATTGGAGAATATCATTTGGTACTTTGGCCTTAAGAGACCAGATCGAAGTCTTCTCTTCTTTAGATAATTTTGTACTATTAAGATGGAATTCATTTGCTATTAATAACAAAACATGGAATTTAATTGGTAAACCTTGCTTTTACGGCGTCTCACGAGGTGTTTAGGTCCTCAGCAACATTTTCCCTCTGCTTCCTTCCTTTTTTTTTTTTTACCCGAAAATGTTGTAAAGCTAATAGTTATGGAATTGGAGTGATTCGCTCTTTGTCTTTTTTTCTTATTGCAACTAGTTTTAAGAATCACTGAAGCTATTCTGCCTTTGGATAATAAAAATGGGCTTATATCCACTCCAGGTCAAACTTCTCTATGATGCTGTCCCTTTCTCAGCCGAAGAGCGTGAAAATTTGAAGCTCACTATTCAGGGAAATGTGTATACCTATCTTGGGATACTTCTTGAAGGCCGTGAGCGTTTTGAAGACGAAAGTTTGTCTCACATGAGGAAAAACCGTTCTTCTGGTGGCAACGACCATATAGGTGATTGTTTGATATACTTCTCTTTTCCTTGCCTTTAGCCGTTTTATGTAATATTAGAGGAGATTGGCCTGAACACGTGAAACGTGTCCTAAAAACAATATGATGGGCTTATGTCCTTGAAAGCCTTGGATCACTGAGTCATAAATGTGAAAAGATCGTGATAGTGAGCCTAGGACTGCGGGAATAACTTGATGGGCTTACGAGAAGTTCCCTATAGTTTGAGAATGGGTTCGTCATTTAATAGACAAGATACTAGCCATGTTAAATAGCAACTCCCAAGTATCCTTTTGAGACTTGGTCTGTAGTTCGTGGCCAGGTCAAGAAAGAGATTCTCTATGAACATGTAATCAATGTATGGAGAATGGCGTCTGTTTTAATACACAAGGATTCTAAAAGCAGGATTAGAGATTGTCATAATGACATGGTTTTACTAATACGTTAAATCCTCACTCGTATATCTAGTGGATTGGATATTTCTGAAAGAACTTGATGTTTTCGGGGTCTCTCTCTAGTATAAAGGTCACTTGTAAGTGTCTAATGACCATATTAAAAGAGACTAAGAAATAGAGGGACGTATTGGACCAAATAGATGTACAGAAGCTCAGTTGTTTGACTGAAAAAAAAGATTCAGGGCTACTGTTGTTGGGACTCGCAATACTATTGTGGACTGAGAGCCAGAAATTTAGGAAATATAGATAGCTCACTTGGATTATCTATAAGAAAAGTCATATCACGTATTCCTACTATCTCTGCGAACTAACATTAATAAATGGTTGCAATAGTATCGGCATAAGAAATTCTATGTCTTCAAATGCAAATTGTCCTCGTCATTGAATGTGGCTCAAATATGGCAGTTATTAAATCATTTAATCTCATTATGACAGAAAATCAAGAGAAAAAGTCAATATATTCCATTGGACCACGCCTGAAAGCCTTTTCAGACTGGCTGCTAAAAACCATGGTGTCGGGCAATCTGGAAGCCATTTTTCCAGCTGCCACACGTGAATATGCCCCACTTGTGGAGGAGTTATGGAAGGATCCCGCCATTCAGGCTACTTACAGCCGAAAAAATGAGCTGGAGATGCTACCTACTATTGCCAACTACTTTTTAGAGCGGGTAAGATCATGTTTTCTTTCCTAGTCTGAAAGACTTCGTGTAAAGCACGGATTTGTAAGAACACTGATTGCGCTCTTTATATTTCTATTAACAGCAAAAGTAGATTGTGCTCTTTCATTTATTTTCGAGTAGAGATTTGTGTGCTACTAATTGTGATAATGCTCAATTTCTATGGGGATTCATGGCAGAAAAGAATTCTCCTGTCGAATGTGTAATTCTCCATCATCTCTTGCTTCTTTTGACGTAATTGGCTGGCTTTTCGTTGCTTGCTTCATATTAATAGCAATGTCTGCAAGATGATGATGGTAGAAAGTAGGAGCAGAGGAAGTTTATCATGCTGAGATGCTATTTGCTTATGTTTGGTGTAAGTGATAGATGGAGATGGAGTGGAGTGAGTGGCAGAATGGAGAAATAGTTGAATGAGTATTTCATTGGCTATTCCTTGTCATTTGAAAAAAATTGGGTCCAAGTTAAAAGTGGCAAGGAAGGGATTCCAAGATATTTACTGCATCCTTGTAAGAATAAAAATCATATAAAAGAGGAGTAAAAGAATTTGGGAAACGTGCATAAGCTGAGAAGGGAATAGTAGTTTATTACCAGACAACGACATGGGCTTCCACACCCCAGAAAAGCAGTACCAATAGAGGAAAGGAATGTGAATTTCACTTTGGATCAAACATACTTCAAGGGAATAATTAGGCTCTTGGTACGAAGAAAAGAGATAATAAATAGTGTGAAAAATGATCAAGTTAAGTCCAAGACGATGCATTCTTTGAGTCTCGATTTTTTTGTTATATGTGAATTTTTTGTTATATGTGAAGCTCTAAAGCAATGTCAGTCACTAGGGTCATTGCTTTTTGTATTATTTGACGGTGACCTAGCTTGTGATTTACACTGAATAAGGTGACGTTAAGCTTTTGGAGTTAGCTATTACACACTGCATACTCCGGCATCTTATTACCGCATGGCTACCAGTTAGCCTTTTCATTTCTGATGCCTTTTCCTTTCTGTTCAGGCTGTTGACATTCTGAGGTTGGATTATGATCCCTCGGATTTAGATATTCTGTATTCTGAAGGTGTGATTTCATCAAATGGACTTGCTTGTGTGGACTTCTCATTTCCCCAGTCTGCACCTGATGATTATACCGATTCGATGGATCAGCACGACTCTCTGCTTAGGTCGGTGCCATCTTGTTAATCTGCATTGTAGTTGCAGCGCCTGTAGATTGTTTAGTCCTCTTCCAGGCATTACCAAAGATATTTAGAGCAGAACAAACTCAACGATCACTTTGCCCTTGAACTTTATCTTAAGAAGAACCTGAAGATCACTGCTCCACTAGTGAATTGAATGTTTGACTTTAGCAGTTTCGCCAGGGTGAATCCTTTTATAATCAGTCTTGACTTAGAACTCAAGTATCTATGCCAAGTAAAAGTGTGGTGATTCATCCTGTTCTCGACCTTCTTGATATGCCTAGCAAGTTGGATCTCAAGTACTCAAAAAACATTTTTTTTTTCTTAATGTTTTTGCAGGTACCAACTAATCAGAGTGAACGCGAGAGGCCTTGGAGAAAACTGCAAGTGGCTAGACATGTTTGAAGACGTTGGTCTCGTCACCTTCTGTGTCTCCTTAAGCGACTACGATAAGTATACTCCTGATGCAAATGGGTCCTTGACGAACAACATGATACTGAGCCGGAGATTCTTCGAGAGCATTGTCGCTCACCCGACTTTTGACCAGATGGATTTCCTTCTAATGCTAACAAAGTTTGATCTCTTCGAGGAGGAGGTAGAACAGGTCCCACTAACGGAGTGCGAGTGGTTCGATGACTTCCACCCTCTCGTCAGCAGCCATCGCAGTAACAGCAGGAGCAATAGCATTAATTACAGCCCGACGCTCGGTCAGCTGGGCTTCCACTATGTTGCGGTGAAGTTCAAACGGCTTTATGCTTCACTCACGGGTCGGAACTTATACGTTGCTTTGGTGAAGGGGTTGGAGCCTGATAGCGTCGACGCGGCTCTCAAGTATGCGAGGGAGATTTTGAAGTGGGATGAGGAGAGAGTGAACTTCAGCTTGAGTGAATACTCGATGTACAGCACGGAGGGGAGCTCCTAGTGCAGATTTTCATACCGGGGGAAAGCTTGTAAATTGAACCTCCGAGCGGGCATTACTGTAGGTAATGTACATATAACGTGCTGTATATTTAAGATGGGAGATTTTTTCTTCGACCTATTGTGATTGACGGATGGAGGCCATTTCGACGAGAGTTTGGAATGCACCACAAAGTTAGGCTTTTTAGTTATATTTGCAAGGAAGGTATGGTGATGTTTGAGTTGTGGCGGGAATGTTCAATCCCTTTTTTTCTCTCTATTTGAGTAGAATCGCCAGATTTATTTCGCGACATGAATTAATTGAATGCGATATAGTTTGGAAATGTATTACACACCTTGAGTTTTGTAGTTCGGCTTTCTAGTATATCGGTTTATTGTTTTAGCAGGTAATCTCGGTTTCGGCTTTTAAAACTGATTCAGCAGATGACATTTCCTGGCTTCAGATCCGATGGCCCAGATTCTACACGGGACCTGTCCTGTAACACACCGGACCATAGATTTTTCTCGAAAAGTTATGTGCTCGCGCTGCCCCCGATCACGATCATAGACAAGCAACTACACACCGTCGCAAGCGCCCGCGCTTCAGCTAGTTGAACTGCAATGCACGCATTGCATGTATGTATACCGTAAAGAACTGCTCAGAGAAAAATTTGAGCAGATCGTCAAGATGTCACGGTTCCTATCGGCGATGCGTAAGAACCATGAGCTGACTTGTTTCCTTTGGTGGGCCGATGCGAGAGGAAACTATCACTAAGCCGTTTTTGGTAAGCGAAAGAGCAGGGGGATAGGCGATCAAAGCTTGACATTCTGTCAAACTGTTCACGCTCGCAATGCAAGGTTCGATTTCAATCACGGTCATTACCTATCAAAGTCTAGATCGTTTGGGTTTAAGAGGGTATATCTCGTCATGGGCAAGCTCGTCGGCACAGCTCCATTGAATCCCACCAGTGGAATAAGGTAAGAAGATAAAAGATGGGCGGTTCTAAGGTCGATTCAAGTTTCATCTGAAACTCAGAACATCGGTTCACAAATTGTTAAAACCTGAGACCTATCGTGCACACTTTGTATCCCGTTCTAGGATCGGTTTTAGGTTTCACCTCGAAACTGTGAACTTACCCACACTTGAAACAGACCGGTTCGAGATTTCGATTTTACCCTGGAAACATGCTTTCAGCTCAGTTTGGCCAACCTCCTTGATGGTCTAGGATCGAACCCTTTTTGAGTTTCATAGCGATAGGAGTTGATTCGCACCGCCCAAAACCCCTCCCCATAGGCCCCCCCCCCGTCCCCCCACCATGCGACACCTCCGCCGCCCCTCCAAGGCCGCCGTGGCCTCCCTCCACACCTCCCGCTACAGGGCCCCGAGGCCGGCGCCGCCGCCGCAGCCCCCGCCGGACCCCCCGAAGCCGCCGAGGCCGCCGCGGAAGCCGGAGGCCTTCGCCCTCCACGGCGCGGCGTGGGAGGACCCGTACAGCTGGATGTCGAAGCTGAACGACAAGGTGGCGATGCGGCACATGGACGTGCACATGGAGCAGGAGGAGAAGTACGCCGAGGCCTTCATGTCCGACACCGACAAGCTCCAGAGCAAGCTCCAGTCCGAGATGGCCTCCCGCCTCTCCTTCGAACTCTCCACGCCTCCTCTCCGCTGGGGCCCTTGGTTGGTTTCTCTCTCGCGCTTTTGGTCTGGTACATGTGAAGTTGGGTGCTTTCGAGTTACATATGTTGTTGTTTCAATCGTGGTTTTCTCAGTGATTTTTCTACTCATTTGATCTTGTGAGGTTGTCGTATCGTGTCGTGTCTAAACTCGAGACCCCAATTGGCGGCGTTTAGACTTCACAAGTAGTGGAGAGTGAAGGAAGAGTATGATCTGAATCTATGGTGGAATGTGATGCAAGAATACCGTCTAATTGGCGATTCCGTTGTCTTTCTGATTGTATTGGAGCAAATCATTTTCAGAATTTCATGTCACTCTGAGAGATTCCGATGGTTCTCTAATAAGTTCCAACTGTTTTGACCTAGGCTATACTATAGGCGAGTTGAAGAAGGGAAGCAGTATCCGGTGCTCTGTAGACGATTAGTGAGCTTAAATGAAGAGTTCATCTCTCATAAATCTCCTTCAGCTGGGTTTGATTTCACCTCAGGGAAGAGAATTGAGCAGAAGCTTGTTGACTACAATCAAGAAGCTGAGAGATTTGGAGGTAATGTTCCTCACTTTTGGCTGAATCCACGCACTTTTCTTGTGAAAGACTGGGTACATGGTGCTCTAACATGTCTCTGGACCTTATTAACATGCAAATGGAGGATGAAAAGAATGTCTCTTTCGTTCCTACTTCGTTTGCTGTTGTTCTACTTTAGCTTTTTCTGGGTAAAGTAGGTGATGAAACGGTATTTCAAGTTTCTAACTTTTGTTCCTTTAACTTACTTCTTGAACTTACTTCTCGCTTTCCCAGCCAAAGAAGAGGAAGTATTTCCCAACATCTCCCTTCCTCATGTGGTTGTACATTTTTGCGTCCCTATTTTTTCAGGTTATGCTTATGAAGAATTATCGGAGGTATCGCCGAGCCATCAATTTTTGGCATACACCATGTATGACAAGGACAATGACTTCTTTAAGTTATCTGTGAGGAATTTAAATTCGGGCTCGTTATGTAGTAAGCCTCAAGCTGAAAGAGTGTCGGGTCTGGCATGGGCAAAGGATGGGAAGGCATTGCTCTATGTTGTCACAGATCAAAACAAGCGGCCTTGTAGGTATGTATTGCATGTCATTGCTTGCTTTATTGCTTAGCATTTCTTTTTTATAACCTTAAGATTGATGAATTAAATCAGCGTTTTTTTATCACAAGGCTATACTGTAGCATGATTGGATCAACTGAAGAAGATGTTCTGCTCCTGCAAGAACTGGATGATAATGTTCAAATTAACATAAGGCATACAAAGGATTTCCAGTTTGTGACTGTTAATACCTTCTCGGTTGCATCTTCAAAGGTATCCCTTCTAATGCTAATGTCTTGTGATATGCAAAAGGTTAAAGCTAATCTAGCAAGTCCATGTAGTTGAATCAATAGAATGATATTTCAGGTGTTTCTGATAAATGCAGCAGATCCACTTTCAGGCATGACGCTTGTTTGGGAGAGTGAAGGTCTATGCCATTGCATAGTTGAACACCATCAGGCCTACCTTTTTCTATTCACAGATGCTACCAAAGATGGTAAACCTGTAGAGAATCATTATCTTCTTCGATGTCCTGTAAATCCTTTTTATGGTCCAGCAACTTGGGAGGTTAGTGGTAAGCTATGCTTTCTAACCAATGTTTCCAGTGGCTTACTTTCTCGTCCTTCTAGTTTTCCATGTTACATGCAATTGTGACATTTTTGAGAAACATTTATATGAAAATTGTACGAATCATGTTTGCTAGCTATATCTTGCTTGCATCTTCTGGAGTTTGATCGCTTAACTTTTTTGGATCAAGTCTTATTTCATAGCTCTACAAATGATCAACAGCAGAGTTCCTTTAGAATTTTCTCACTTGAATATATTGTTCTTTTCTTTGCTCTTTTCGACCAGTTTCTTTGACCAGTTTTCTTTGCTCTTTTTATTACTGCAGAATGTATTTGTTGATGATGAAGACTCGATCATTGAGGATGTTGACTTCAGTGATAAGTACTTGGTTCTTATACTAAGAAAAGACGGAAATTACAGAATTTGTTCAGTTGCCCTACCTCTTGGGAAGGTATACACAGAAGAATCCTCCGTGTCTTCTTAAGTCATTCTGGCACTCAGCCAATAACATTAAATAACTTGTTCTCTCATTAATATCCCTTTGGGTATGGCAGGGTCAGATTCATCTTAAGGAGGCTAACCCTTGTTTCTTACCTCTTCCAAAATTTGTCTCCCAAATCTCACCTGGACCAAATTATGACTACTATTCCACTACGATGCGCTTTACAATATCATCACCTGTGGTACGTGTTTCAACACCCCATGGTTTGCATCTTACATACCATACCTTAGCTTAATTTAAAAGCAGCATATGGACTTTGCTTATAACCAGCACTTAAAAATGTCCTGTGGTCTCACATAGGTATTATCTAGATTGACTAAAACAGTTTCTGATCTTTGTGAAGTCCCTTGCGAATTCTTTGTTTTAAAAAGGAGTTCTTACCATTCTTTGAAAGTAACAAATGCCTAATAGTGGGAATTTATCGGTAATTGTTTTTAGCGAATTTACTATAGCTGTAAAAGCTATTTCATTGATCATTTAATTCCCTTTTTTAATTTGATAATTTTGTGGAATTTTCATTTGCTAAATGAGTAGCTGACTCACATGAAGTTGATTTTATTTTGTTAGTAAGTTGCCTTCCTCCAGCCTTCATGTTGAATTATTCAATCCGTATACTCTGGCAAAGTACGCAGCCTGTTTGAGGCATCTAATGTTTTTAATCATGCCTGTGGCTGTTTAAAATAGCTCTATGGTCGCTTTGCTGTAACCTTAACTTGATGTTTGGTTCCTTGGAAGGTATGACTTTGGGACTTCTGCTCATAGGTTTTACCAATTTGAGTAATAGAAGCCAAAAGCATGATCTGAAACTTAAGCGGGGCAGCTTTATCTTTTTGCTTGGAGCTCCTAGTTTTATGGGCAGGGACACTTTTGATTATTTTTTTGGTTCTATATAGGCAATTACAACGGAAGTCATCTTCCAAGTAAAAGTGAGGTGCTTAGGTTCTATAGTTGCTTTTTCATCATTGTCCGTGTACGCAAGTTATGTTGCAATTGTCATTTGTTTAGAGTTGGAGGCTAGGGGCATCAGCTCAGTATGTAATTGTGTCATTATAAATTATTTTATGATTGTTTCAACTTTCTGCAACTGTTCTATGTCCTCTCTCATGAGTCATCTTCACACAGGCAACATTTTTCTGAGTGTAATGATGTGGAGTATGTGATCGTGATATTGTTCTTCTGTCAACGTGCAATACTTCTCTTTTATAATATATAGTGGTCACATCTTATGAGCTACTTTATCTAAAATGGCTCTCATGCCCATATATAAGTCATCTTGCAATTTGTTGAAGTTGGGGCATCTTATTGTAACTTCCTTCATCGACAAGAATTTAATGAGTGATTCAGCCTTCTGCAACTGTTGCATTTCCTCTCTGATGAACACCTTCACATTGGCAACATTTGTTTCTTTCGAGTGCCATGATTTGGAGAATGTTCTCTTTGTTTTTGCCTCTTCAGTCATCTATAAACCTGCAATATTTTATCTTTAAAAACATATAGATTGTGTATCTGATGGGCTACTTTATGTCTCAGATGCCAGATGCTGTGGTTGACTATGATTTGTCAAATGGTATGTGGAATATCATACAGCAGCAAAATCTGCTTCATGAGAGGACCCGAATTTTGTATGGGACGGCTTCTTCTGCTAGCATTCATGGAAAATCCTCTTCTATGACTGAGGTTAAATCGGAGGATAATTTATGGAATGAGCTTTCTGAGTTTTATGCTTGTGAACGTCATGGAGTCCCTTCATGTAATGGGATTGTTGTTCCTCTAACTATTGTGTATTCACGCACAAATAAGAAAGAAAATTCAAAGCCTGGTTTGCTGCATGGACACGGAGCTTATGGTGAGCTGCTTGACAAACGTTGGCGTAGTGAACTTAAGAGTCTTCTTGATCGTGGTTGGGTTGTTGCTTATGCTGATGTTAGGTATGTTTGCCTTGGCACGGTTCCCTTTTCTATAGCCTCTAGTATTTCTAAATAGGAATTTCACTGTCCTTTCTCTTAAAGATGTAATTGTCATTTTTTACATACCAGAGGATTTCCGAGGCTTGCGTTCAATTCTTATTGATTGCATGGTTGGCTTGCAGAGGTGGTGGCGGCAGAGGTAGGTCTTGGCATCATGACGGAAGAAATAGGAAAAAGCGTAATTCAATCGAAGATTATATTTCCTGTGCCAGGTTCCTGATTGACAAAGAGATGGTACATGAAAACAAACTTGCTGGTTGGGGATATAGTGCTGGGGGACTTTTAGTTGCTTCAGCCATTAATAAGTGTCCAGACTTATTTCGTGCTGCAGTTCTGAAGGTCTGATGGACTCTGTCCCTGCTTTCAGGTGTTTTTTGATAATTTTCGCTGCATCTCTCCTTCTTGTGCCTGTGCTGCGTTTATGCTTGCTATGGGTTGCATTATTACGGTTGAGAAACTGATGTTTGTTTTCCGTGTGTCATCACCGCAATGTTCCATGAGTAAGTAGAATTTAGCATTCTTACGTCAGAGAAAGGAGTCTTGCAGTACCCCTTTGCACCATTTACTTTTATGTTTGCAATTATTTTTGAGCTGGATTTGAGATGATTACATGTGAACTTAATGCTGCTTACTTGCTCGTTGTATTTTCAGGTACCCTTTTTAGATGCGACAAACACACTTCTCTATCCCATTTTACCACTTACAGCTAGTGACTATGAAGAGTTTGGTTACCCAGGGGATATTGATGACTTTCGGGCCATAAGGGAGTATTCTCCATATGACAATATCCCAAAAGATGCATCTTTTCCTGGAATTCTGGTGACCTCTTCCTTTAGTACACGGTAGGTCTCTTCTTTTGCTTCTTCACCTTTTAAATCTGATCCTTTATTTCATTTTGGAACTGGTATGGTGGGCTAGGGATTCGAGAATTGTAGACACCTCAATCAATTAAAGTTTTCTGGGGTCAAGGTCACAGATGTTTATATGCGACAGAAAATGCAGCCAAAGCAGAAATTTGAGTTATTCTCGAGGGCAGTCAGATTCAAAAATATGCACGGGGATTGTCGATTTTTTTTTCTCCATATATAAAACAAAATTTATAACGGTGGATACTGATCAGCATTAACATGACCGGATACTAAATTTGATTTAGGTGAATCTTACATGACCACGTATTTGAGAGTTTTCCAATTTAAGGACAATGACTAGGCTACATTAAGTAGCCTGAGGGTTGGCTGACTTGTTCCATTTAAAGTCATAGAACATATACTCTAAGTTGTCATGCAAACAATGAATAATCTCCGAGCCAATAAATCATCAGGACAAAGCTGCTTCTCATGTCTCCTAACATACCAGCAATTTTTGCTTTTGATAAGTGAATATCTACAGCAATGTGGTTTTTAGCTTTTTGATGTTCTGTGGATTAGAAAGTAATTTGCATGGAAGGTGATCATTTCATGGATGATGGAATCAAGCTTTTAGGACTGCTGCATTTCTAAAGGTGAATAGACTGATGAGCAAAGAACTTATCTATTCATCTAATCGATATAGGATCCTATTGACGAAGCAATTCTTTCTGCATTTCTTGTGTACTTCTGTTTTGTCTGCTAGTCAGTTCATTTGTTGATGGATTTTGTTTGATTTTTCCCTCAAACTTGCGATGTCATAGAAATCTTAAATTGCTTACAGTCCCATGATTTTTGTTTTTCAGATTTGGGGTTTGGGAAGCTGCGAAGTGGGTTGCACGAGTCCGCGAAAACACTATATATGATCCTGAACGGCCCATACTTCTCAATCTATCTACTGATATAGTAGAAGAAAACCGGTATCTGCATTGCAAAGAATCAGCACTGGAGACTGCTTTTCTTATTAAAGTAGTAGATTCCTAGGTTTGGCTGTACAATCACATGTAATGTGTTCATGAAAAAAAAGGAGAATACATTTCTCTAACACATTCAATGAGTCTTAACCAGTGCCTTTAAAGGGCACTTTATAACATTCTCCATGTGTTTGTACTATTTTCCTCTTAGTGTTTTTTACCTATCGACAACCGATTTCTTTCTTGCATTTTCAAGACTCAAGCAGGAACATGTTTTGAGAGAATTTGGAAGGATTAGTGACACATTGTGGAACAAATCCACTTAGGTGGTGTTTGCCAGATATTTGTAAAGGCCATCAGATTCCTAGGGCTGTCAAACCTGACAATCTGTCGAATTTCTAGAAATAGGGTTGACCATCTGGTGCATTTTGCTTGTGGATTCATGTGGTAGATGAGGGTCAATTTTGCATGCCTGAAGTTACTACTTTAATAGTTGTGGACCGGTGCTTTTCATTGTCCTTGGCAATTCTTGAGATCGCAAACATGTTTTGTCCATCTGCGAAATAATTACCGGTTATTATTTGGAAAGTTGCTATCATCCCCATGAGATTGAGAAACCTAATCTTGAATTCGAGAAGCTCCATGATTCATCATTAATCACAATAATGCTTCTATCTCTTTATAAAGGATAACGTTTCTGTCGTGCAAAATCCACCGAATCTAATAGTTTAGTTGCCAACTCCAATCTTATTTAGTGCCCAAGTTTGTCAAAGGGTTGCTGTCACCAACCACCATTTTACTCTTCGGAAAGCGGCTTTGGCACGCATGCTCTCAGCTGTCAACGTGACACTAGTTTCCTCTTTACTTTTCCTTTCCAAGTTTTGAAAATATCAAATCATCAAATGTTTTAAGAAAGAATACCCTCCTTTTATTTGACAGAAAAAAGAGGGAATATTGAGAAAAAAAAAAAGTAGGTCTTGATCATCATTATCAGATCACTACACGATGCATCAGCTACCATTTCTTGAGAAAAAAGATGCTGGCACTATCTCTTCAAGAACACAATGGGAAAGGCATCCACAGAGAGTTCCATTGGGAACAAGAGTTAGTGGGTATGGCCCGGTCATGATGGCGCAGAGAAAAAAACCATGCCCTTTAAAATTTGCAAACAAGAAAAAGAAAACTGTTGTTCTCAATTGAATCACAGACGTCGAATGCGGCGATTCTGCATGGTTCTTTTGCATGTGTGACCGAGCAATTTGGACAGTTTTTCTGGCTCACAAAGACTTGGGTCATCCAAGAAAACCTGCTTCTTGGCCTAATCTCTGTCTGCTATCTGTCTTTAGCATGCGTTGAATCATGCCAATATTTTCTTCTACCTGATGAGGATGAGCTCGAGATAATGACAAATTTTAAAGCATTGTTATTGCTACTTTCATTGTCAATAAAGGGACAGCTACCAATATGAAATACCTATCGTTGAAGGTTGGATCTGTAATTGCAAACAAGATGGGAGATTAGGAATAGGCATGACAACAAGATATGGTCGATATGTCAATAAAAATATAAGGAAGTGACCAGGCGACACACCCAACTTGCTGTTTCGTCCAAAAAAACAGTTGAAAGGATATGAGTAAGCCAGGAAATGTAAGAATGTCCTCAGCTGCAGATTCCACCAGGTACAAAGGAAGAAAATGGTAAAAATCTCTTCAGAATCAGCATCCTATGAATATCCACTATTTGCTGTGAAATCATGAAAAAAATTGTACTTATTGTCGGTTGCAGTTCCGTTACTATTCTAAAGCAACATTGGATCTCATAGATTGGGAGAAAATTTTTCGGGTCTTTCAGAAACTATAATAATTGGAGGGATTCAATTGCAATGTAATGTCTTCTTCTGACAACAAAGGCGTGACCAGAGTAGGACCTGAAAATCATTGGCATGAACTGAGTTTCTATGCTATGGTTGAAGCATAGAATAACAATATCAGCCCAGGGAAAACTATGCTAATTCATCATTACATAGCGCGAGCTAATCATTGTAAAAAGCAGAAGATAGTAAGGTGGAGGTTTTGCCAAAGGATAGAATTTTCCAAGGCTAACTCTACAAGAACCCAAAAAAGTGAGAACAAAAAAAAATCTCAAAAAGCAGCGAACACATGAATCAAACAAATCCATCACTGTGTTAGGGTCTTGGCAAAAGGCAAAAGAATCCACCTCACGGGGTATGAGAAAGTTCCCTCTTCTCTGGCTTTTTAAGGTCTTCGACTCGCGAGCCTCAGTTTTCACTCCCCAAGTGTTTTTCCACCCTAGAAGAACTGTGCGTTCCCGTTTGTATAAGACTAGAAGAGTTAGTCCTCATTTGAGCACTCATGTCTCTGAACCTTCAACAACGGTGGGGAGCTCACCCTGCCGGGCAAATGCAGGGTTAAGGAACCTTGCCACAAAAGCCCACAACTTGTAAACATCTTCAAAGTTCGTCAGGAAGCCCAGAGAGGCTGTGACAACCTCAATGCGCATGAAACCATTCTTTCCACTGCTTTTACCAACTTCCGTTTGCCTGGACAAGCTGCTGTCCTCTATGTTTAGCTGTCTTGAGCCATCAACGACACGTATGTGACTTAAGATGCCAATGCCAAGAGAGATACCTTCTTTCTCAGCAAGTTTTTGTACGACTTCTGGCTCAACAATCCCCTTGGAACTATTTCTCACATTGAATGCAACAGCACCACCTCTTTCATACTTAACTTTCGGGCCATATATATGAACAAGGGACACATTCCCATCTGAACTCGGCAACCTTAGTTGCAGTAAAGAGGTTACCAGCCAATTAATCAAGAACCGCAGTCTACTGGAGGTTTTGTTGAGACCCAACTCATTTATATGATCGAGATGGCGGCACACTATCTCGGGCTCGCCCCTGAATTCATCCTGCACATCACCGTATTCACCATCGGTGCCATAATCTTCGTCATCTAGGGTCATAGCAGACACTGCACTGGGTTCTAGGCTACGGCTTGTCTGCTCCGCATGATTTTCTTCCATTGAGAAGGACACCCTTCCTCCGCCACTTGGGTGATCGCTCTCCTCAACACTGAAAAACCTACTGCCAGCATATCTGTTCCCTTTTCTGCTCCTCAACAACCTAAAGTCCCCTTCGGTTTCTCTTCTTATAGCACTCTCCTTTACTTGTGCACAGTTTGCAGAGGCCGAACCATTCTCCATCTTACAATTACTGCTCAAATATGATCCAGGCACAGGATATTTTGATTGCTTACTAATATGAGGCTCTTCCTCAATCTCACCAACATATCGATCATCTGAAACCACCTTACCGTCGGAAATGTTCTTTCTTCTAGCAAGTCCTCCATTGGGGATGTCTTCCAGATGATGTGCATCCTGAGAAGCTGATTTAACAGCAGCATCGAATGATAGTGCACTATATTCCTCATGAGGCGTAGGGCTCACGTCCTTGTGGTCATATATAGGGCTGCCATATATTTTTGATGACTGTTTTGGAAAGAATTGTTTCTGATTCTTCCTTGCAGCGAACCAAGATGGCGGTAAGGGAGATGCCATTCTCTCTTTATTCAGCTGGCCTGGATTATCATACCCCAAGGGACTCTGACCCAAATCAATCCAATAAGAGTAGTCCGATGATCCATTTTCACTGAACACAGGACTCTTCATCATATCCCCAATCGATATACTACCACTTTCTTCAATATAAGTGCTCGCTCCATCTATGTACGAACTATTGTCATGATTCATCTCAGTCTCAAAAACATCCTCCATCTGTGCAGATGTGTAGAGTCCGGAAAAGGCAGGCAACTGCTGCGGTGGGCGAGCCTCAGAGGAACTATCACCATTCTCAGCGACTTCATCATCGGCCCCAGCTAGTCCATCCAGGCCGTCCATTGATTCACCAAGATACAATGGGAATTCTGGGGTTAATTTCACCATTCCAGACCCTGTAGAGCCAGAATGACTTTGAAGGCATCCTATAACAGATTTTTTTATCAGAAGGCATCCGAAGCCACTTGGATCATACCCAAAGACCCTGTAAAACGAAGTGATAATAAAATCTGGCCGGAATAGGGACAGCCCAAGTGAGTCCATGTCCTTGGGACCGAGTGACCCAGCATCAAGCAATACGTGCCAACTGTTCTGATGTGCGAGTGCCATCCATTGGTATGAATATTTCGCGCCAGAGACTCTGGACTGAACAGGAAACACAAATAAACCCGCTGCAGAACCCTTCTTCCTCTTCCTTTTGCTCGATATTTGCTTTCTCAAATCAGCTGAACAAGGTTGAAGGGTTGGCCATTTAAACCACGCACTATAGACTTTCGCACCCTTCTCCCTTGCACTCTGAGCCATCCAATTGACAGACTGGCTCTCGTGATCAAACATAGTCAACAACCTCCTATTCGTCTGGAAAGGGTACGAGTCAGCCAACAATTTGAAAGCCGACCCTCTACTGACAGTGAAAACTAGGCCATACTCATTCTCAGGGATGTTCAAATAATCCATAATCCTGATCTTTATATCATGCTCGACGGTACCTTTCTCAGCGCCACCATACAGAGCATGGTTACTCAAATTTGCAGTTATCTCGGACAAGCTAAACGTCGAGGAATCCCAATAATGAACACTCTGAAGATATGAAAACAGCCCGAATCCGCAAAAGTCAAGGCATACCTTTGGTTGTAAGTGCGAGTACTCATTCATCCTCAACTGATCAATCTTCTGAGAAGATTGATATGAAGGAAACATGCCGTGGAACTTGGAGAGAGCTTCATCGATATTGAGGACGGCATCATCGGATTCATATGTAGTCTCCGCGGCTTGAGCTGTGGCACGGAGGAACAAGCCCTGGCATTCGAGACGCGCGAGGGTCCTCGATCTCTCCACACCGGTCTCATCCAGGGAAAGGGAGCCGAACTCAATTTCAAGAGATTTAAGGAGTGACCCATCTTCAGATGCCTCCTGAATAGCCTCCCTAAGCTTCTTCTCTCGCAGAGCCGACGCGTGTTTCTTGCTTTCGAGGGGAGGCCTACCAGACCCATCTCTGCTCTTGCTCTTTTTGTCAAAGAACAGAGCAGCACAGTGCGCTAGGGGCTTCCATGTTGACCAATGCATCAAAGCTTACTTGAAAAAAAGAAAGTGATTTACAGAGACAATCCCAGAACTCAATCCTGCCAAGTTAGGCTCCAAACTACTGATTTAGCCCGTGTTCTTTCATACCCACCTAAAGCAAAACCCTAATAGAATCGCAGAAACTGAAAGATCCTCGACAAGAAGAGTCAGACCAGTCGACTCAGATACAAAGAACCCAGAAGTGGAGTTGGCAACATTATATCACCCCATGAATGAAAGGAGAAACTCCAAGCCCAGAACTTGGTTTGACTGTACAAATTTAGTAACTACCCGAAGTAAGACCCAGAAGGAAAAAAACACAAGAAGTTGACTCTGAACTCTAGAAATCGACGGAATTCACCCAAAAGAGAGAGAGTACACGGAGAGGGAATCAAAGGGTCGACCCCTGAAATCCCAAATTCAGATCCAGCGAATCAGCAAATTGCAGGCGAGTGAACTGAGGAAGAGCAACGAGCCTGATCAAACCCTGAAAGCAAGAGAAGGAACGAAGCGAAACGCCAACCCAGAATCAGGATTCAAGAGAAGGGGAAGTCAGACACGCAAGCCTCTCGCTCTCTTCCGAAGCGTCAACGCAAGGAGAGATGGAAGCAAGCAAGCAAGCAAAGGACCCTTGGGAAAGAGAAGTCCAAGAAAAGCACCACCCAAGAATCGCTCTCTCCTCCTCCTCCTCTCCTTGGTGATGGTGGCGACCTCCTTCCTCTCTTCTCTTTGACGATGGTGATCTCTCCGTCCCTCCCTCTCTCTCTCTCTCTCTCTCTCTCTATCTCTCCATGATCTTCCCCCGCCCACCTATCCCTCACACACACACACGAACAATCAGAGCAAGAAAGGCCATTGACTTTCGCAAACTGAATCGTAATTGATGCCGAGGGGCTTTTACTAATCTGCTTTTATTAGTGTGGACTGTTCTCTTTTTTCTTTTTTTTTTCTTTTTTTTCCTTTTCCTTTTGTTTTTGTTTGTGCTTTGCTGTGATGGGCCCCCCTCACACACCTTCTCTCTCCTCTCCTCTCCTCTCTCTACTCATAGCCAAAAGTCAATCAATCAAGCTGGTCTAACCCCCCCAACTCCAAAAAGAAAAAGGAAGTGATGATGTGCAAATAGCAAATAGGCAAAGAAAGATCTTCACTTTGCACCAATACCCATCAATTGTTCCCTTTTTTGCATCCGTCGGGTCAGGTCGGATCGGGCCGGGTGGGATCGGATAAATTCAGGCAATTTCGAAAAAGTCGGAGAAAAAGTACTTTATTGACATTTAGATAGGAATGAAAGACAAAATGAGGCACTTTAAAAAAGTTATGCGAAATTTTGTATAATTTCAAGCGGGTATTAAATATCGATGTGCTTATAATCCTTCTTTCTTAGAATTGGAGATGTTCAACATGATGAAAACTTGTATCCTCAACAATAAAAGCAATTGTGTGATCAAGACGATGACCCAATATTTTCGGAATTCATAATCAATTTCTTAGCTTCTTTTCTTTACGTATTTTGATTTCGTGAATTAAGCATTTGCAAACATCATACCTCTTAATAGATCACAAAACACTTACAAAGGATAGGCTCTATGTTTTGAACTCAACTCGCCAGAACTATTAGCTTATTAAAAATTATCACAAGTCATCCTCGGATGACCTCATAGACTCAAAATATTTAAAATTCACGATGCTAGCGAGTCAGACTGAAAATCAAAATTTGAGTCTCGGCTAAAGCAAGTTTTTAAGGGTAACCCCCATAGCACCAAATCTTTGTGGTTGTGGTGAAATCAGGGGATTGCTATGATTGAATGAGATTAATTGAGTGTTCTAATATGATGATGTACTATGTGGTGCCGAGTTTTCTACTTATATTTCGACACCACATAGGGAGGGTCCAACCTTTACATATGTAATCCAAATGAGCTCCTAGGGTTTACCCTTATTGTACTATATTACATCGATGGTCCCAGCTGGATTGGAAACAGAAACACAACTAAGATATGAATATCTTCAATGTTGCATTTTTATTGAATTGTCACAGAGTTGATGTCTACTTGGCAGAGGATAGGGAAGTGTCTAGCATTACGTAATGCAAAGGGGTCGGTTGTATTTTTCCCTTATTATACTCTCAACTGCTAATGGTCCCAGCTAAAATAAGAAAGAAAAACTAAGGTGTGTATATTTTCAATGTTGTATCAAATTGAAGAGGCAATATATAAATAAATAAAAAAAACATTAGACAGTTGATGCCTGTTGGCCAAAGTCGGATAATGGATGTGTCTTACATGGGTTAGAGACTCTAATAACCCATTCAAGCTCTATTTTTTCGCGAAAAATAGATGAATATTTTCCTAAAATTGATCGCTTGTATCGTTTAAAAAAATGAACGAACGAAAAATATTTTCATCATCCATGAAAATATTTAGTCTATAATTATCTAGTTTTATGAGAACAAAATGCATGATCCGTACTCAATCCGAACCCAAACCACTTCATATGTGCCAACTAAACTCATGTCAAGTGTGTCAATTTAGCCATAATCTTAATTCTTGCGAGAGACTCCGTTTCCGTGTCAACCGTATTAACACCACTCTAATTTTGCATTTACCGTCGATAGGGATGCTTAATTACTCACATGACAACATGAAAAGAGAGCACAATACGAAAAATTTGGAATTTTGTTTCAATCGTGATCTGCCGTTATGAAGTGTGAAGATCTATTTGAATTAAACAAACAAACCCTACTGTGTCTTTGGTTATTATCAAATGTGATAAACTTTTTCATGTTAATGCTCACTTTGAGTGCATTCACCTTCACTTTAATAACCTACTTGATTTGTTATGTTCGATTCAATAAATGAATTGAATTTCAATGGCATGTGGATCCCATCAAGAGTCAATAATACATGGGGTCATGAGACTCGAAACTTTCTTGATCGTTCAATTTTGTCCCCTGACCTTTTTATTCAATCTTAAACTTTAAAAAGAACGGGTCCATCATTATCTTTTCATTAATAGTAGTAGTGGATCACGTGATTATTGGGAAAATCATAAATGTGGTGATTATTAGAAAAATCCCCTATGTTATTTTAAAGATGACAAAGACAATCAAAGGCTACTAATATGTGTATTGGTTGAATAGTACCAAGTGATATATGCACAAGTCGAGATGCAGATGTTTGTTATTAATAGAACCAAAATATTCTGATATGATGAGTGCTTTGCCACTGTCAAGATGCTCTGCCAATATCAAATGTGAACAAGATATTGGGTAATTGAAGATGTCTATAAGCTGGAAGGATCTTTAGATATGATGAACATCTGGAAGGACCTTAATCGATAGTGAATAAGCCGAGAAGAACGGGGATGTTCGTGATGGCTTGGAGGTACAAAAATCAGGTGAACAGTTGGATGGACCTGATGATGGTGAACAAGCTTAGAACGAGGATGTTTGCTAAAGCTTAGAAGGACTATGAAGATGAACAACTTGGTAGAGTAAAAAATTGCTAATATGTTTGGAAGGATCATAAAGATCAGTATCAATATCGGGTGAGAGCAGCTGCCTTATACAGATGAGGTGGAAGACCGTGATGATATTTAAGGATTGCATGATATCCATGGTTTGATCCATTAGGAGAGGATCGCAAGATGTCCTTGTACATTTTATGTAAACAGCACCAACGGACCTAAAGATTAGCTGATTGATGATGTTTGTATCAATATTGAGACATCATGTCATTGGTGATGTTTGAATAATGAGCATGTGAGGATGTTCGATATTATAGCCGTTGAAGGGTGGAAATGTGCAACGGAAAGATTAGGAAGTCTATCGGGGAATAGGAACATGCATTTGTCAGAAATGTCAGAGCAGTCAGAGTTGGGACAGTAGCTACAAGACCTATTTCCAGGTAGCCTGCAAATGTTCAGAATAAAGGGCTGTATGGGTAACACCATCTTTGGACAACCGCACCAACGGATCTCTAACGGCTAGTTGATCTTTTCAAGCATCTCCAACAGGAAGATTGAAGATGTCTATTTAAGTGAAGACCTTCTATGGCAAAATGTTGAAGAGCACAATGTAGAATCCGAATATTTGCTCTGAGCTACTTTTCTTGTTGATATTTTTTCGTTCTCCCGAAAGATCTTCACTGTGATAATTTTGCCATATAATAATCGCGTGAAAGATCAAGTGTACAAAAGTAAGTGCAGTAGCTGAGTCATGATAGTGTGATATATCATTTGTAAAGGATCAGCACTCGTCAATTATAACTTGTTGAGCAGATTATTAGTGCAATCTAGCCCGTATTGCGGCTGTTAGTCTGAAGAGTGATGTAGGCTTGGGAATAAAGCCGAATCACTATATATCTGCTTGCAAATCTTTATATCTTCAATATCAACATTACCTGATCTTTATTATCACGATTTGTCAAACAACAGTACGCATCTGATTTATACAAACTGTTTTTGCTAATGTTTGGAATTGAATTTGTTATATTCCGCAAATATTTTTCATAGTTCTCAAATAACCTATTCACCCTCTTCTAGGTTGTATTGTTAGCCCCAATAGTGATTAACGTGGATTATCGTGTAAGCGGTGATCGTACCAAAAAATGATATTGTGATCCTTTCATTAACTGCATGGTAGATCACTTGATTTACGTGGATTGCCACGTAAGCGGTGACTGTATCAAAATATGACAAGGACCGCCATCTCAAGTCCTTTTAACCAATTCCGCAAATGTTATCCATTTTTCCTTTTTTACAATTTTTTCCTTTGTTCTTCTTCTTGTTCGTTCTTTCTCAGCTGCCGCCGACTATCTCTACCATTATCGTCATTGTCCATCATTGCCTTTATCACCATCGACACCAGATTCTAGCAACCGTAGCACCATGACCTCCATACCTCTCCACATAAACCCACCCCGCGCCACCCTCACACAACGCGCCCCGCCCCCCCGCCGCCCCCCCCCCCCCCTCTCTCTCTCTCTCTCTCAACCTTAGAATTGAGGCCGTCCCTACCTCTCTCATGCTCAACCTCAAAATTGAGGTCGTCCCAATCTTATATTGGCAGTTGTCACTATCGATATGAGGTAGCGACGACCTCAAATTTGAATTTGCGCCTCAAATCGAGAGATCGAGAGAGGAGAAGGGGGGGGGGGGGGGGTTAATGGTGTTCGAACTCAACGGATACCATGGCCAAGGCAATGGGTGGCGTTCAAGTCTGGTGGCCATTGGTAGCGGTTAGAGAGGATCACTAGGCCAGTGCAAAAGGTAGGCTTAATGTAACCTCCAAACCTGCCTATGACATGAAATTTACTTCGAAACGTACGAGTTAGAGTCTCAGCCAGAACCAAAGTTGAGCGGGCTGGACTTTCTCTTACAAGAACACCGTATGAACCCACCTCTTTGTGCACATCTCTTAGCCTCTGAGCGGATCAAGTGGGGTGCTTGCCCGTTCATCACCTATAGGGGCGATAATAGTATGAGACTTCTATCTTGTTTGGAGAGAGAGAGAGAGAGAGAGAGAGAGAGAGAGAGAGAGAGAGAGAGAGAGAGAGAGATGGATTCTATGGATTCTAAGTGGATGCTGGTTGTCCGAATTAACGACATCGTCGTTCACATTAGATAAGGCCGCTAGATTTTCAAAGGAAAGATCATATTTGGTCGACTGTGAAAACTTTAGACACAGACTTAAGACACCAAAGATAAGTTTAAAAACCTGTTGGTTGACCGTTTAAACTTAAAAACAAATAGAATAGAGCAACTAGTCAAATAAGGCATTGGCAGGATGTTAACTCGGGCCGACTCTCATGTTGATTACGAAGTCTTCCTTTCGTTGAGAGTTGGAACTCGAGTTAATAACTT